CCCCGCCTCCCGCCGCCGCGGTGTATGCTGGGAGCGCGGAGGCGCCAGGGCGGACGGCGGCGGCCATTTTGTGTCTGCCTCGGTCGTCTCCGTGGGGAGGCTGGGGTGGGCGTTGCGGCGCAGGAGGGACGAGCTCGGCTGTCTCTTTTTTTTGTGTAGGTCGGGGGCGCCGCCGCCATGGGCCGTAAGAAGAAGAAGCAGCTGAAGCCTTGGTGCTGGTATCCTTCTGTGTGGGACGAGGCGGGTGTAGGGAGCTGGGGGGGAGGGAGGGGAAGCGGCGCGGCCTAGCCCGGTCCGGTTTCTGCACCGTCCTATCCTATTCTCCCGTCTCCTATCCCCCAGCCCCGGCTCCTCGCTCTCCTGCGACGGGGCCTTCTCCTCTCGACCCCCGTTACGGTTTGTCTCTGTGCTTGGTCCTGTTCCGTTTCAGTGCTCCTTAGCGTGGGGATGGGGCCTGGTACGTGCCTTTCTTGTGCTTCTCCTTCCCCCTGTCCCGTGCGGCCTAGCCCGCCTGCTCCCCCCTCCCTTGCTTGAGGCCTCGGCCTCACGTTCGACCCGTAACGCTGGGGCAGGCCGCAGCTTCTCCGGCCGGCTGTCCGTGGCGCTTCTGTCGCCAGGCCCAGCGGGATTGCTGGTGTCGTGGGGAAAATGGAGAACGGTCTTTATCACCCTGGGAGGAAGGGTGTTAACAGAAGAAAACCCTGCCTCTGATAAATAGTTATTCAAGAAGTGGGGCGGATGTGGTTAAAGACTTTTTGAAATGGCTTTTTTTTTTTTTTTTTTTTTTTTCTTGACGGGGAGCTTTCAAATTTGTAATTGCTGTATCTGAGTCACAATTTCTCAGTATCCAGAAATACCCGCGGATTTTTCGATCACTCCTTCACAATCTGCTTTTTGTTGGGGGGTGATTACAGATTTGCTTTTTCTCCCTCTAAAGTATTTTTGCCTAATCTAAAATTGTTTAATAAAGGAATTTATCAGTTGCTGTGAGATATTTTACCGGATGGAAGGCACCTGTGCTTCTATTTTAGATACTAATATATTTCAAGTTTTGGTGGAAGTGAGTCACACGTTGTGTTAACAAGGAATAGATAATAAATACCAAATGTGTAATTGTGTTGTTTATGAAGATGTGTGTGGAGTGTTTGCTGAAATATTAATGCTGACCTGCAGAAATGAAATCGCAGTTTGCCTCTTCTGTCGCATAGATATCCAGAAAGTTGTTCTCTTATAATCTTTGTTTTACAAACAGAGTTCTTTAATGCCTGCAGCACATTATCTGGTGTCCTAAGAATCAATAGTTGGATAGCTGAAAAAAGAAATGAGGTTTTAACTAAAACTTTTGTTCTTTTTTGTAAATGTTAGCTACTTGTTGCTAAATAGGCACTTCTGAGTATTTAGCATCACTTCCTTTTCATGGATTTCAAGTCTATTTCTCCTTTAATGCGTTAGCAACTTTATTTTAATCTACATGTATGCAGAGAAGGAATGGGTCCATTTAGAAAGAATTAGGTCTTGAAAAGCACATATCAAAGATTATGGAAGTAATTGATGATTCTGATTGTGTGCACACATCTTGACCTTCTTGTATCTCTCTGGAGGGAAATGCTGGATGGCATGAGGGGGAGGTCCATGAAATGCATGTCATGCTTTGAATGCTCAGAGGTGTTTCCTATGCTTTTTTTTTTTTTTTCTTTAGTAAAAATTACAGTGATGCCAATTGGCTCAGTGTAATATAAAAGGTCACTTTCAGGGTTAAATGTTTCCTTAACAGTCTTCAATAGGTATTGTAACAGGGATTTTGATGATGAAAAAATTCTCATACAGCATCAAAAAGCAAAGCACTTTAAATGCCATATATGTCATAAGAAACTGTATACAGGACCTGGTTTAGCTATACATTGCATGCAGGTAAGACGTTTAAGGCTTGCATAAGATTTTCTTGACAGTATCTAAAATTTGAGTTAATAGTGAACTTGAAAAGAAGAGGGGTGTGGGGACTTCCAGTGTCTTAAAAAATGATGAGAAAAAGACAGTGATGGTCTGTTTCCAGGAGTGCTGCTGTGTCAGCAGTTATATGGAGAGTATGCAGTAGGGCTGTAGGTGTAGGAGTAGTGAAGGAATTGTCTTGGTGTTCAGAAGACAAGTTTATATAAACTGGTTTTAGAACCTAATTGTAGTTAACATCAGGATCAGGAAGCATATCTCAAGAAAATGCTTGGCCAGAGAGATTTTTCCTGTTAAGGGTGGTCCTTTTCTATCTTGAAACTGGTTGAAGAAGACATAGAATCTAACCTGAATTGTGGTCAGGATGATTATTTTTTTTTCTTCTTCCTTTAGGTACATAAAGAAACAATAGATGCTGTTCCAAATGCTATTCCTGGAAGAACAGACATTGAACTGGAAATCTATGGCATGGAGGGCATTCCAGAAAAAGATATGGAGGAACGAAGGAGGTTACTTGAACAAAAAACTCAGGGTAAAGTATAATCTAACTAGTTACCTGTTATTTCCCTAGTCTGTCTGTTACTGATACTAAGCAGTGTGATAAGAGGTCTCACTTCTCAGAAAAGTAAGGGTAGGGTTTGATACATTTTCTAAGAGCAGCTCTAGATGTTTGCCAATCACGTAGAATGTTGAGAAATATATTTTTCTTTTCCTATTCAGAAGTAGCTGCATGCCAGTGCTGCAGTTGTAACAGTTAGCTAATGAATATGGGGGTGGTGATTTTATTTTTGAGGGTAAGGGGAGGAAAGGCCAAAGGTCGTAGAAGCCTGGTGATGCCCAAATACTTAGACTTCTTTGCTGTTTAAGTATACCTTTGAACTGCTTTGGTTTATTCTGGACAGCATGAGACTGACATGAAGGAAAACCCCCATTTATGTTGAGGGTCATTACAGTGTGAGTCACTTTCCTTCCATTTTTTATTTGTACGTATAGGTAGGCTCACATAGGTTTTCTTCTTTGTAATGCTGTGAATTTTTGAACACACAGATAAGATTTGAATTTTACTGTTTTAATTCCATCTAGAATGCCCCAGATAAATTAATTTCATAGAATACAATTTGCCTGTAGCCTGACCATATACACTGTACTCTTTAGCAGAGAGCCAGAAAAAGAAACAACAGGATGATTCTGATGAGTATGAAGATGATGAATCTGCAGCTTCGACTTCATTTCAACCCCAGCAAGTTCAGCCGCAGCAGGGGTACATTCCCCCAATGGCGCAGCCAGGTTTGCCTCCTGTGCCTGGTGCACCAGGGATGCCTCCAGGTAAGGTGATGTTTTAAGGTAGTTACTGAAAAACTGAGTAGAAATGCAGATTGCTGCTTTGTATGCTGAAATAATAATCTGCTCTTTCTAACACTGGGTGATAGAGGTCACAAAATAGTTTTGTGAGGTGCACATAGGCAGTTTCTTAATTTTCTTCCCCCATTCTCTGTGTGAGCACACATCTTTCTTTGTGAAGTAGATGAAGATATCTAGTGTTTGCATTTAGATTGAAGGAATATGATAGTAAGACAGATGAGTACTTCAAACATAAGTCTACTAATGATACTGTGGTATTTTGTAACAAGATTTTGGAAACACGCCAGAAAAGCTGACACATATCTAGAGACCGCTAACATAGAACAGGCAGTTTATGCACAGGCCACAAATATAGTGAGGGAAGAATTTTGATAGTGACAGTGAGTGAAAACTGGCCTCTTCTTACTATATTTTCTGTAATGGTAAGGCATGTTCTTTGGGGACTACAAAGAAAATATACATAGTCTTGCAGGGCTGAGAACAGTGAATTTCTGTCAGTTTTTCAGATAATCTTTTACATTTTGTTGTTTGTAAGCAGTGTTATTTCAAAAAAAGTGTTCTAGAGCTGCTTGTAAAGCATTTATCCAGTCCAGATTTATTAGATGAGATTTTTCAGTGGTTGTGAGTTGTTGGAATTGTTTACAATTTATTTTTCTTTTAAGGTATACCACCATTAATGGCAGGTGTTCCACCTATGATGCCTGGAATGCCTCCAGTTATGCCTGGAATGCCACCTGGGTGAGTAGCAAGAATGACTTTTAATATTAAGTGTTCATACTTTGCATTTTAAAATGTGACAGAAAAAGTAAAACTAATTAGAAAAATGTGTGTAGGGACCTGTGAACTCTGTAACCTTATTATTAAGACTAACCAAAGAACTGGATGACTGTAAACCAACATTAAAAATATGGTCAAACTGTGAGTTACGTATGAAGTACGTTGCCTTTCTTCTAACTTTGAGTAGTATTATAATAATTTAAAGTTTTATTGTGTTGGTTTAGAGTCTTCTGTGAACCAGTGTTCCTTTATGTATTGCACATATGTTGTGCATCTGGTTATCAGTCATCAACCTAATAGGAAAAAATACTGGATAGTTAAAATTTGTCTTGTATTTTGGGCAAAAGTAAGTTACTTGTTTTTATGCTTGGTTGGGGTTGACACCGTACCCTATCACAATGTGTTTGGAAAATCACAGTTAGATTTTTGATTTTGTCATAAATTTTCACAGATTACATCAACAGAGAAAATACATGCAGTCATTTTGTGGTGGAAACATGTAAGCATCTCATTAATGTAATTCTAGGTACATTCATTATGCCATTTTATGTTATGTTTTTGATAAGCTTTAAATTGTCTTTCTGAAAACCTCTTGAGTATTGCCTAAGAATTGGGGGAAAATGTCTAGTTAGGTTTTGTTATTGTATAATGACTGGAGTTTATATGCTTTATCTAATGTTAGAGAACTCTGAGAAATGCATTTTACAAAATATTACAAAAATAGACCTTCAGGAGTTTAAGAGTGCAGCTCCTTGTGCTTGATCCTTTACACTGTAGGATGTACTGCAGGAACTTTGCTTCTAAGTTTTAAAGTTCACTGAGATGAAAGATTGGTCTCTTACAGAGACGTTGTTTTAACAGCCTTTGAATTTAAAAACATGTCAGTGGAACAGCATGTGGGTGCTTATCACATGACTGTAGCCTTTCTGGGTGGAAATGGAACAGAATTTTATCAGGCTTGCTGGTACTTAAGTCCTTCTTAAACTCTTTGTTAACTTCAGGTGATTGTGATGTCATCTAGTAAAAGACAAATTAATTTGCCAAAAATTCACTGCATTTTCTGTGAAATTTTAGAGGAGGGTAGTGTGGTGTT